GAATAGAATAGAATAGAATAGAATAGAATAGAATAGAATAGAATAGAATAGAATAGAATAGAATTCTTTATTGGCTAAGTGTGATTGGACACACAAAAATTTGTCTTTATGCAAATACTCTCAGTGTACATAAAGGAAAAGATACATTCGTCAAGGTACAACACTTAGTCATAGGGTATAAATAAACAATCAAATCAATACTAGGAAGCAGTCAATATAAATCGTAAGGTTACAAGTGACAAAGTTACAGTCATACAGTCACAAGTGGGAGGGGATGGGTGATAAGGAGTGATGAGAAGATTAACAGTAATAGTAGTGCAGACTTTATGATGCCTGTTGTATGTGGCTTTTTAGATGTTGATTGGGGTGTGTTGGTGGCTGGCTTTTAAGTCATTGGCTGTCCTTTGCTTGTGCTGCCCAGCCCTTCACCTTCTAAGTACGTGATAGGCTGGTTGGTAAATCAGCACTCCTGTTTGACTGATGAGGGGCCTGTTTCCCCGGCTTCAATCACTTCCCTGGCTGTTTTTGTGCCTGCTTGTCCAACAATGTTAGTAGATGCAAAATTGAATGTGTGTCCTTGTTCATTGCAGTGTGAGGCCACCTATGAGTTTGGCTTTCCTCGTCTGACCACTTGCTTGTGTTTTGGTGTGTGAACTATAAATACCACACACAGAGCAGTACGCAGCTGGAGAGAAGTTCCCTGAAGATGGGCTCCAACACGAAATCTGAAAGTGAGGAAGGCCAAAACCTCTGGTCCCCGGGTGGTCAACCCAGACTGGATCTCGCAACATTATCCTGGGACACATATATTTGCCTTCATTCACGAAATAATTACATTAATTTTATTAATTACATTCAAGTGATACACTCCATCAAATTAACCCGAGCATTAAAGCAGTTCCCCAAGGATTATTAATTTTGAATGCCTGCTGGATTTTCATAATGCTTGTAGAAAATCAACTGGATCCAGATCATCAAGGAACACTGGGGAGAAACAACCCTTTATGGATCCTTGGCTTCCCTTTTGTACACAAGTAATTATAATAATTTCTATTCCTGCCAGGAAGAAAGATGGAGGTACGGGACTTGCCCAGATCCCAGGCAGGAAAGAGAGCGCCAGTGGCGGGAAGAGTTCAAACTGTGGCAACGTGGGATTGTCTGAAGGGTTTCACTACATCTCAGATTAAGCAAGAACCGGAAGAGGGGCTGGACCAGTTGTGTGAGATCCAGAAAAGAGAAGCTCTGAGGGCTCCATATTTGGATGGAAGAAACTCTCCATCTTCTCAGTCCTTAGCAGAGAATAACACTAGGCCGCCTTTTAGCAGAAAGGCCGATATCCATCAACAGTCCTTCAGAGGAAAAGCTGCATCCGAAACCTTGGTAGGTCCAGGTTGTGTGGAAGATCCCGGATTTTATAAAGGCCTGGATTCCCCAATGGAAGAGAAGGAAGAGTTGGTGAAGGATGCCAGTGTGGCACTACGATGCCAGCGCTTCCGGCAGTTTCGCTTTGAGGAAGCTGAAGGGCCTCAGAAAGTGTTTGGTCAACTCTGGGACCTCTGCTGCCAGTGGCTGAAGCCAGAGCGTCACTCTAAGGAGCAAATCCTGGAGCTGGTGATCTTGGAGCAGTTCCTGATGATCCTGCCGCTGGAAATGCAGAAGTGGGTTCGGGAACAGTGTCCAGAGACGGGGAACAAGGCAGTGGCTTTGGCTGAGGATTTCTTTCGGAGGCTGCCACAAGATGAGCAGAGGGTGAGCATGGATCATTTTCATGTTGGGCACCCTTCTAGAGCTCAGGCTATGCCAAAAATTGAACCCCTAATTAAGTGAGACATTCGTTAAGTGAGTTTTGCCCCATTTTGCAACTTTTCTTGTTAAGTGAGTCATTGCAGCTGTTAAGTTAGTAATATGTTTGTTAAGTGAATCTGGCTTTCCTGTTGACTTTGCTTGTCAGAAGGTGACAAAAGGAGATACGTGGCCCCAGGACACTGCAACCATCATAAATATGAGTCAGTTGCCAAGGTTTCTGAATTTGATCATGTGACCATTGGAATGGCGCAACAATCAGTATAAAAAATGGTCATAAGTCACTTTTTTCAGTGCTGTTGTAACTTTGAACAGTCACTAAACAAACTATTGTAAGCCAAGGACTACCTGTAGCCTGCCATGGGAGTGTTTTTAATGACAAAAAACTCAGAAGGAATCTGATGATGCGTTTCCATGTAGCACTTTTTATTAAAAGACATCAGCTTTTATTGAACTGCAGCTCATCATTGGATGCTTGGCGTGGTTAAATTTTAATTAGGGTTGAGAGAAAGATTTGGTGATGCAGATGTGGGAAAAAACGGAGCCATGAAAAACTGGTTAAAAGCCTCTTATCAAACAGCAATTGTAATAGGTTATAAACCCTGTGTGTATGCTGAGACATAGAAACATAGAAAACTGATGGCGGAAGAAGACTTAGTGGTCCATCAAATCTGTCCTTTGAGTTATTTTTTTATTTTTGTTGGATGACAGACGGGTGTTTATCCCGAGCACGCTTAAACTAAGATTACCGCTACCTCCACTGGCAATTTGTTCCAAGCTTCCACTACTCTTTCTGGGAAGTAATACTTTCGAACACTGCTTGTGAACTTCTCTTCTGTCAGTTTGAGATCATGCCACCATGTCAGTGGTGGTATTCTACCGGTTCGATCCGGTTCAGCCGAACTGGTAGCTCCAAGGATCATCTGAGAGCAAACCTGTTTGTTCTGACGATCAGCTGCTACGTTTGCCCACCCCGGCTCTATTCTCACCTTTATTTGCTGGTTTTCAAACTTGGCTGCTTCGCGCAGCACAGCAGATTGCCGCCTGTCAGCTGTTTTACACACAGGTCTTGCAGCAGAACGTGAGTTACAAATGCACGTGCGCAAAACACGCATGTGGCGTGTGGATGTGCATGCACCCAAACTGATAGGAAAATTTTTTGAAACCCACCACTGCATCCTGTTCTTAATTTTTGCTTCAAATTGAAAACACTGCCTTCTAGAATCTTATTCACTCCTTTAATATGTTTCAGGGTTTCAATCATGTCCTCCTTTGTACTTCCATCTTTCAGGCAATAGCAATAGCGCGTATGCACACAGAATTTTACAGCCCTATCTAAGTGGTTTACAGAGAGAGCATATTGGCCCCCCAACAATCTGGCTCCTCATCGTACTGACCTCGGAAGGATAGAAGACTGAGTCAATCTTCAGCTGGGGAGATTCAAACTGCCAAACTTGACAGCCTGCAGTTGGTAGGATTAGCCTACAGCAGTGGCCCACAACCTTTTTTGTGCCACGGCCCGGTACCGGCATCACAAAATGATCCGCGGCCTGGTACCAGCATCAGCACGCATGGCAAGGCAAGGCGGGCCGAGCGACCAGCCAGCCGTCCCCCGCTTCTCCCCGCCACCTTCAACTCCTCGTTTGTACCTTTTTTGTGCTTTTTTGTACTTTCTTAATCTCCTGCGCCATCGGGACGGCTCTTCGTTCGAAGCCGCCCCCCCCCCCTTCGATGAAACTAAGGCATGAGGATTCCTTCAGGACCCAAACGCCGCTTTCCAATCGGAAAAGCTCACCCGGAAGCACTTTCTTGTCAAAACAAGATGGCGGCACCCAGCAAACCGGCGGCTCGGTAGAAAATGATCCACAGACTGGTACCGATCCGGGGCCCAGTGGTTGGGGACTCCTGGCCTACAGTATTCCATTCTAACCACTGAGCCACCACAGCTCTTCAGACAGTACATATTTAGGTCCTCCAAGCTCTGCTGATATGTTTTGACCCTCAAATCGTGCACCATTTTTGTTGCCTGTTTCTGAACTCACTCAATCTTATCAATATCTTTGTTTAAAGTGTGTCCTTTTGAGATGGCTGGAACCTTTTGCTTATGTAAGTTCAGCAAAATCTCAGTCTGCGGTGCTGTTAAAGAGAGGCCTGAACACATAGAGTCAGTTTCTAGCACATTACAATAATTAAGATACCTGTAACCTAGACTGCGTTTGTACAACCAAGCTGAATTCCTCAGCTTCTTCTCATCATAAATTTAAATTTTCAATTTCAATCCTACAGGATTTGAACCACTTTATGACTCTGATGATGTCAATTGCAGTTTACAAAAGTTTCATCTTTTTAATTAATTGGCTGCATTAATATCTGCCCCCAGTCCTAAATTTGATGAAAGTACAACATTTCTTTATGCACAATGAAGAAATTACAATGGCTAAATGGGATCCATTTTAACTGGCATTCTTCTCAGATTCTGAGATGGTCTTCTCCCATCATCGCCAGTCTGAGATACTAAAATTAAGACATTTTAAACGTGTTCTGGACAACTACAGCTTAGTTGTGTCACATCATCGATTCCTGAACCCCAGTGGGTTTGTAGTCTTTGAAAATTACATAAGAACTGTGGTGCAAGCTACTTCTGCTGATTGCCAGCTGACTGCAATTTGGCAAATCGAATCTTACCAGACTCAAGGTTGGCTCAGCCTTCCATCTTTCTGAGGTCGGTAAAATGAGGACCCAGATTGTTATTGGGGGCAATATGCTGACTCTTTAAACTGCTTAGAGAGGGCTATAAAGTACTGTGAAGTGATATATAAGTATAAGTGCTATTGCTATTTTGCAGAGTTCGGGAAGCGCTGAAATGAATCTCCAGTCGATTCTGGTTTGTGTACCAGCTGTTGGCTGATGTTGAGAAGATGTGTCCCAATTGTCTCCTTAGACATCTTCATGTTTCTCACACCCAGGAAGATCTGGAGGACTTTCCTGATAAACCTTCCAATTCCGAACTGGATCCGTTGGATATTGTGAAAGTTGAGGTCCCCATGGATGGAGACAGTGAGTAGAGCAAAATGCTTTGAAAAACCCGGGGGTAAAATCTGGTCAGCGCAGGTAGAACGTGGTTGATCAATCTGAAACTACGTCCTGATCATGGCCTTTGAGATACTGGAAGGCGTCTGTTACCACAAATCTACCAGAATTGCTGGTCCCAATTGTGGTCACTAAGCGAGGACTACCCACATTCATTCCTCACCACCTTGTGGTCTTATTCTTCCTGTGATTGATGGGGAGGAGACCAATGGGCAGTAGGGAGTCTCTCTGGATGGCTTTCCTATTAGAGAGCTGGTGGGCTGCATGGGGAAGGTGCGGTTGCTGGACTAGGAGCGGGGGCACCCACGTTCCAGCCTCTCCTCAGCCATGAAAGGTCCCTCAGGCTCATTCCTACTTGACAGACCAAACCAAAGAAATCAACACCACTGGAAGACTCTTAACACGGTTGTAAGTGCAAGTACCAATTGTAAGTCACTTTTTTCAATGCTGTTTTAAATTCAAACAGTTACTAAGTGAATGGTTATAAGACATTCACAGGAAGCTAAATTTAACCTGAGTGGCCAAAGGGGGAAGGATCAGACTGGAATTTCAGGATACAGAATAACAGAGTTGGGAGGAACCTTGGAGGCCTTCTAGTCTAACCCCATGCTCAACCAGGAGACCCTGTACTGTTTTAGACAAGTGGCTGTGCAGTCTCTTCTTAAAATTCTCTAGCGGTGGAGCGGAGAGAACATAGTTGCCAGGATGATCTAGTAGATAGGCATAAATGATAAGGAGGTCACCCAGATGGGATTATCAAAAATATTTTAACATACTGAAATTTACATGTTGACTTGTTCTTTCTATACCTTTGTGGCATAGTTAGCCAACTGTATGTTCAGGTTCAGTTCAGGGCTGCTCAGGAAGCTGCCAATATGCACTATAATATTTTGCATGCTTAATAATTGAATTATTGCAATCGTCCAAGTGATGCAGTTGCTTTAGGTGAGGCAGGGTTTGCCCAAAACATTCTCCTTCTGTTTCTTTATGCATCTCCCTAGATTGTTAGGGAACAATCAGATTGGTCATCCCAAAGGTGCTTTTTCGGGAGGCAAGTGGACTTCCTTCTTTTTTCTTTTGAAGATGTTTCACTTCTCATCCAAGAAGCTTCTTCAGCTTTGACAGGATATTGGAGAATGGGAGGATTTATATTCCTTGCAGGCAGAAGGTAATTTGCATCCTTTTAAAGGATCGTTGAAACACTTGGAGGTCTATCTGTGTTCTCAGGGTCACCTGAGTAGGGCTCCTGGCTCCTATAGTCTGCAATTTTTTCTCTGGAAATCCCTTCCTACTCCCACACCATTCAAAGGTTGTTTATCCCAAATTGTATAGCTTAAAGTGTCAGGGTGCCAAGTAACATACTGTTAGCAAATAAAACTTCAAGGCTGGTAATTTCCTCAAAGAATAGTTTTATTTGATATGTCATATTGGCACAGGCTAGTGAAAACGGACTGAATATTCCCACGGATTTCACCTAATTAAAAGTGAAAATTTGTCACTTTCTCAAAAGAATCAGTTACAGCCCAGTTGCTAGGTGATTCCAGGCCCCTCCTTCTGAGCACCTGTAGGAATGTCCTTGGTTCCCACAAGAAAGCATTTTGTTTTGGCTACAGCACCCAACTATTCCCTCCTCCCTAATCCTCTTCTACGGTGTGTCGGCACTGAAATCCCAAAACGGCCTCAGTCAGGCCAGCTTCAGGGCTGACAGGCGCCCCCCCTTGAAAAGGAGTTCCTGGAAGAAGACAAGAAAGAACACAAAAAGATGATTAAACACATGCTAACTTCCTCTTCCTCCCCCTGGGGGCTTCTGTGGCTTGTATTTGTCATGGATCTGCTTGACCAATTTGTCTGCCTTCATATCCCACAGGGTGTTAATCCCAAATTGTATAGCTTAAAGCTTCTTGGATGAGAAGCGAATTATCTTCAAAGAAAAAACAAGAAGATCCAGTTGCTTCTTTAAAAAGCACCTTTGGGACAACCATGACCTGGATGACTGAGAATTCATACAGACTTTTAATCAGATTGTTTTTATTGATATTTGAGATGACCACAAAAGTCACATAAAATTGGGACGCAGGTCAAGAGTTTGTCTCTGATGTTCTTCTCCACTTTAGCAAGCGAGAAAGTGGCAGCCCTTAGATGCCCTTCCTGGGCTGGGGCGTTAAGGAAGGAGAAGCCTGGAGGGTCCATGGATGGGAGGCAAATTGGGAAGAAAAGATCTGAAAGTTAGATTGTGCAGGGGGAGAAAAAGTGCTCCGAAAAAGGAAGTGACAATTACAAGCAGCTCTTGACTTACGCTCACAATAGAGCCCCAAAGTTATGTTGTTAAGCAAGACAGTTCTTAAGTGCGGTTTGCCCTATTTTACAACTTTTCTGGTCAAACGTATTAACTGAATCACTGCTGTTGTTAAATTAGTCACACTGTCGCTAAGTGAATCCATCTCTCCCACTGACTTTGCTTCTCAGAAGATCGCAAAAGGGGATCGCGTAACCCTGGGACTCTGCAATCGTCATAAATGTGAGTTAGCTGCCAAGCATCCAAATATAAATGACGTGATCATGGGGAGGATACAACAGTCATAAGTCACTTTTCCCAGTACCATTGTAACTTCGAACAGTCACTAAATGAACTGCTGTAAGCTGAGGTCTACCTGTAGTTTCTGTGTTGCTGTCAAGACACCTGTAAGCGAGTAATCCATGAAGTCAGCGGGCACTGAGTGCCACACCGAAGAGATTGGAGTTGAATTTTTGTGCAGCATAATTGACATCCTCCTAACTTGCTTGTTCTTCTAGGAAGCTCCGACCATCCACAGTACTTCCTTGGAGAAGGGACAGACTTGCCCAAGGGGATGGAGAGCAGCAGGAGGATGAAGGCCACTTTTGACTCTCCTCCAAGGAGCCAGAAAGTCCCACTGAAGGAAAAACTGCACAAATGCCAATACTGTGGGAAGCTCTCTGACTGCCGCGCCCACCTGATTATTCACGAGCAAACCCACACAGGGGAGAAACCCCACAAATGCTCAGCCTGTGGGAAAAGCTTCACCCGGAAGGAATCTCTGATTATCCACAAGAGGTTCCATACAGGGGAGAAGCCCTACAAATGCTCGTTGTGCGGCAAAACCTTCCGTGATAAAATCGGGTGCCTCATCCATGAGAGAACTCACACTGGGGAGAAGCCGTACAAATGCTCCGAGTGCGGGAAGAGCTTTGGCACTCGTTGTAATCTCCTGAGGCACCGGAGAGTTCATACAGGCGAGAAACCTTACCGTTGCTCTGACTGCGGTCAGAGTTTCCGGTACAGACCACAGTTAGTGATCCACGAAGGAACCCACAAGGAGGAGAAGCCTTATAAATGTGCAGACTGTGGAGAAACCTTCAGTCAGACGCGGCATCTGGTGATCCATAAGTGGACTCATACGGGAGAGAGGCCTCACCAATGCGCTGTCTGCAGTAAAAGTTTCAATCAAAAGTCGGACCTTATCACACACACCAGGACCCACACTGGGGAGAAGCCATATGTCTGCTCCGATTGTGGGAAGAGTTTCATTTCAAGTTGCCAGCTGAGGAAGCATGAGAGAATTCACACCGGGGAGAAACCGTACCAGTGCGCAGAGTGCGGGAAACGCTTCACTTACAGTTCTCACCTCACCACGCACAAGCGGACGCACACGGGCGAGAAACCTTACCAGTGCCTGGATTGTGGGAAATGTTTCATTTCTAGTTCTCACTTCACCGCCCATAAAAGGACGCATACTGGCGAGAAGCCGTACCAGTGTACCTACTGCGGGAATAGTTTCATTCAGCGATCTCAGCTTGCCAAACATGAGAGGTCGCACACGGGAGAGAAGCCCTATATGTGTTCTGAATGTGGGCAGAGCTTCCGGTGGAGCCAAGGGCTGAAAAAGCACATGCGGACTCATACTGGCGAGAAGCCGTATGGGTGCTCCGTGTGTGAGAAAACATTCTCCAGTTCCTTTAATCTGTCCAGGCATCAGAAAATCCATGTGAGGGGGAAGCTATAATGTGGCGCTTTTACACAAAAGATGGTAGGGCGATCAGAATAGCTTGATACAGGTAGTCCTTTTCAACTCGAAAAAGGGGACTTACAACCTGGATTCGCAGTTGTGACGGTTAGACCCCCTCCACAGTCATGTGACAAAAATTTGGGGTACCTGGCAACTGACTCTTTGCAGTATCCCACGGTCATGTGACCACGTTTTTGCAATGGTTGTTGCAGAAAATCAGCTCTTGGCAAAACTGCACCCATAGGAAACCATCAGTTTGTTTAAGAACCATGGTGTTTACGTAACGATGGCTTAATCTGATTATTCAATTAATGACCACCATGAAAGGATTCATAATATTGGATTGGTATTGTTCTATGACTATTGTGACATGACTGTAATGGGCAGGCTCTGAGCCAGGGGTGCGTGGTGGTTAGAATGCAGCACTGCAGGTTATTTCTGCTGACTGCCAGCTACCTGTAGTTCGGCAATTCGATTCTCCCTTGTTCAAGGTTGACTCGGGCTTCCATTCTTCCAAGGTTGGTAAAATGATGATCCAGATTATTGGGGACAATATGCTGACTCTGTAAACCACTTAGAGAGGGCTGCAAAGCGGTGTGTGTGTGTGTGTGTGTGTGTGTGTGTGTGTGTGTGTGTGTGTGTGTGTTTTTATGTATATGTATATGTGGGTCTTTGGTTATTTGGGTTTTCTCCCGCGTAAGATTGGAAGTAGCTAGGCAACGTTTTGATGAAGTCTCATTCATCATCTTCAGGCTTGTGTCTTCTGCTCTGTGCTTCTCTGAGAAGCCCAACAGAGTCAAAGCCCAACAGAGGGCATAAAACCCAGGGACTCTCAGCATCTCCTCCTTTTCTACCCAGGATCTCCAAGCCATGTAGTCCTGTCCACCATTCAACCATCTTTCCAAGCAGTCGCCGTGTTTCCAGTGTCTTTCTTCCCCACTTGGAACTTATCAGTTTCTATCCATTATGTCCTAAAAGTCCTCAAAATCCTGTCCTTAGAATTTGGGTGGGGGAATGCAAATTTTCATCCCATCAACTGGAGCTGAAGGTGTTTTGTTGGTGAAAAGACCGGTCTGGGTTTCTTAATGGGCACAAAACATCCATCTCTAAAGATTTCAGACATTTGCTGAAAGCTGTTCAGACTGCTTTCTGTCTTTGTTATAAAAAGAAATCCTCTGGGGGAATATAATATTTTGACTCTTTTTGTTCTGCCTTCTGTACAGAGGTAGATTTTGTCCTCTGTACAGATCCAGATGGATAAACTCAACAAAGCATCCATACAAAGTCTTTATTATTGGTTCATCAGGTATCCTCATAACTCACCTTTATGACAAAGTTCTTCTTCATGTCCAATCCTTTGTATATCTGTCTTTGTAGGTAAAAAGATAGTTATCTCTTTATCCCCGTCGCGGTAGAAAGAGCAGCTACCACGAGTCAGTGAGTTCAGGCAAGAGTGAAGAAACCTCCCCCAACCCATCAAGGGGTCAATTTAGTGACCAATCAGGATTACAGATGTGGTCACGTGACATGGATTACATTTCCCAGGATACCTTAACTACATTTACCATGACGCATTCCCTTAAGGGGACAGCTCACAAATCCGAACTAACTATCCAATTCCCATACCACGACTGTGACTTGCAACGTCCTGTCAATTTTGTTTGTCAGAAGCCAATTCTGAAGGTTCCAAATGATGATTCCAGGACTGTGGGACACCGCAAGTATCATAATTGCAAGCCAGTGGCACCCCCCCCCCCCAAATAACTGTGAGGGCCACAAAGGTCTACTTTGTCAGCACCATTGTAAGTGGCAGGTGAGGACTTTCTATAAAACTGAACATCCCAAATGATGCTCGGTAGCTATTATTTAAAAAATCTTAGGTTAAGCACAGTTGTACCAGGATATTAAATGGAAATCCTGTGTTTGTTTGCTACATAAGGGAAGTTTAAAAAAAAAAAATCATCACAGAAGACAGCAGTGGCATTAGCAGTTTCCAAGAAAAAAAAAACATGTCCCTAAAATCACAAGTTAACGTACCCTAATACGAAAGAGAACCAGTTTTAAAGCATGCACCATCAATGGAATAAAATCTGGGGAGCGAAAGAATATGTAGTGTGGAAAGTTGGCAACCACTCCTCTCCTAGAAGAATGAAATATTTTGAGAAACATTAAAAAGGCAGAATGTTATATTTCCCTGGAGGGAGAAAGCAGTCCCCACCTTCCTAAATAGCCCACAGCAGATGTCAGCACTTAAGAGAGAGAGAGAGATAGAAAGCAAATACTGTCAACGCATGGCTGAGCAGAGAGAATGGGAGAGCTCTTCTTCCTGGCAGGCAGGGAAGCTGCATGGCTGAGACTGTGCTGTCTTCCACCCCATGCAGTGCTGCTCACTTGCCTGGCCAGTGTGTGTCAGAAGAGCAAGAGGCAGGAAAGTTTGCCCAAGCCTTCTCCTTCATGGGCATACATAGAGCATGCAGACATCTCATGGCGCTCTGCTGCTGCTTGGAAGACGTCCTGCTCTTTAAGGTACTTTGACACGGAGGGGAGGGGGATGATAAAGGGACAGGCAGGGCATCTTTGCTGTGAAGGGAGGCAGAAAAGTCTTCCCCATACACACAGAGAGCACACACACAGTGCCGGGAGGACTTTCTGTGAGGAGATGGTGTGTGGGTGAGCCATGAGTCCTTACGGCGCTGTGAGTTGTGTGCACACTCGGTGTGTGTGTATGCTGGAGAAGGAGGAGAAGACTTGGGCAAATCTTTCTTCCTCCCTTCGCTCCACTGCTGCTCGGAAGTCAGCCGCCGCAGTCTGTCCTTTTAAGGTACTTCAAGGCATCGGGGAGGAGGGACCATAAAGGGACAGGCAGGGCACAGGAGCTGCAGAAAAGTTCAGTAAGTCTTCGCCTCTTTTTGTCAGCCCAAGGGCGGAAGGGGAGGAAAGGTAAGGTACGTAGGCAATCGCCCTGTCTCTGCAGCATCGGTCATGTGACTGGGTGGGTGTGGCCCAATGTCACTCATGGCAAGGTGCCGCCCCCACCTTGCCATGAGTGATGTCAAGTTGGCTACGCCCACCCAGTCACATGACCCAAGCCATGCCCACAGAACTGGTGATGGTAAATTTTGAATCCCACCCCTGCTCAGATAGATCCAGGGGAGGGATTCTACCAGTTCTGTCCACCTCTGTAGAACCGGTAGTTCCGAAGAGCAGCAGACAGAGAGCATACATACAACCAGTTCTATGTCTGCTGCTGTTTCGGCCCACCCGGCCGCCCGGGCTGTTACCTGACCTTTATTTCCTGATTTTTCAACCGCAGCTGCTTTGCGCGACATAGCTGAGGTTGAAAAAGCAGGGGAAAAGGGCTTTTCCAACCGCTGCGCACTTGCACGCAGCGCTGCTCAGCTGTCCCGGCAGTTCAGCAGGTTGTAAATTGCACTCGCGTGCAAAGCGTGCGTGACGCAGAGCAACAGAACCGGTATAGTTATACCAGCCAGATCCCACCCCTGGATAGATCTGTTCCACCAACAGAGCCTGGAAAGTATAGGGAGCTCTCACGCCAGAGCGCAAGACCTTCTGTTAGGGAGAAAGGAGAGACTGTGTGAAAATGGAATGGAAAAGTGAATGAGAGAGTTGAACGTGGGCAACCAGCTGGAAAGTTACTGAGTGAAGTCCTGTTAGGAGGGGTCCTTATCTCTGGAAAGCACGTAGAGGTCCTCCTGGACTCTCCTGAGTTCGAAAAGTGTGGCAGGAAGAAGGGGTCCTTACCTCAAGGAAGGAAAGCAGAGGTCCTCCCATCTTCCTTGAGTCCAAAAACTGCTGTGGGTTGAAATGTCAGGGAAGGAGGCACCCTTACTCTCTTCAGAGAACAGTAGATTCCTTCCGGACCCCTTTTTGGCCTTCAAACTGACAGCCATATTCCCTTGGTAGGAGGCGTCCTTACTCTGGGAAGGGAACCAGAGTCCTCCCAGACCCTTTTTGTCTGAAAACTGTGATGGGGCGAGTTTCCTTAGGAGACTCGATTTGCCGGAGATCCAGCTATAGCTCAAGGGTTGTGGTATTCTCCCCCTAAGGGGAATTCCTTCATGCCTGGGATGAGAAGCAATTGCCCGCCCAGGCGGGAATGAGGAAGAAGCTCATGTGCAAGTTATGAGAAATGGTCTTTGCTCAGAGACGAAGCTGGAGAACCAATTTGGCTAAATAAAGGTACTTAAAAGAAAATGGAAACCTATAAATAGGAATGTTGGGGGGGTTGTTTGTTAAGTTTGTTCTCCCTCTTCCTTTCTGTCTTCCGTGCAACCATGTTATATTTATTAGGATTTTGCCTTCCTAAGTTGAGTTAACTGAGATGTATGGTGGGAAACCAGGGTGTAAACCCAAGAGTTCTGTTTTCCTCTCCTTTCTCCTTGTTTGCGTGTGTGTTTGTGTGTCTGTTTTTCAGTCTTTGTGTGCCCTTGAAGTAATTGCAACAGTTAAATGTATCTGATCCCTACAGATAAGAATTTTAAATTGTGAGGAAAAAAAAAAGAATGAAAGCAATGGGTTGGTCTGGCCAACAAAATATGGTGAAGAGAACCATTTTTCCTTCCCTCTCTGTACCTTTAAGAACAGCCCAAAGTTATGAGGGAATGTTTTAAGTCCATTTACAGGAAAAGTTTCATTCTTGCATTTACTGTATGTGTTTAAATGGTTTTATCTGTCCATCCTTTTCCTAAGCATGTGAATCCAACTTCTTCTTCCCATCTGTAACGTTACCCATTTGTTGAGACTGGTTTATCGGTTCAATAACTGCAGTACTGATGTTTCTTTTTCAAACCCTGCCTGCAAGCTATCCACACACACACCCCGCCACACTATCTCAATCTCTTATCCTCCAACAAGCCTTTCCTGGGAGAGTCACCCACAAAGGAAAGAGGGGGCCCTGCAGAAACGACCTGTGGAAGCTGATCACACTGACCCAGGTGCTGCCTCCAGAGGAGACCATCCATTCCAGCCAGGTAATTGGGTTTGGATCCAGCCATCCACTAGAAGTTCATCACAGCAACCAGCGTGGAGCAGACCTTCCCAAGCCTGACTGACTGGCCTTATCACCAAGCCAAGCCTAATAGCACCCAGCAGACATGAAAGGACCCTGAAATGGACTAAAAGACACTTTTCAATCCCCAGAAGACAGCCAGAAAGACTATGGAGGAGGGTGGAAATTCATTGTAAAATTTTCTTTCTTGCCTCACTTACGTTGTAATTTGTTAAATGGATTCATGGGGGAATGACATTTGGGAGCGGTTGGCACAGCATGTTCTGAACACCTTGGACTTCTGTCTGGTGGGAGGGAAATTTGTCCAGGATACTTGTGTAGCTGCATACACACACACACACACCATTCAGAATCAGACTGACGCTATCCCCTTCACCTACCTCCACACAAAGCTCCTCCTAGGTTTTTGCTCTGTGGCAACTAAGGACCAGTCATATCTCCCTGCTAATTCCATGGGGGAGGGGGCATGCCCCTCAGGCACTTCCCTCCCTAAAGTAGCGGAAAAGAGACCTC